AAATTTCCTTCAGAAATTTAAATAGAAAAAAAGATCGTGATCGGGATTCGATCGTTTTAAAAAGATTGGTTAACAAGCCTGGGTATATTATATCTTAAAATAGTAGTAGTTTGTAAAAATATCAAAAATATACTAGTATTAAAAATTTAACTCAAAACTGTTTTTCAAATAAAAAAAATAGCTTTCCTAAAAACAAGTAAAAAAGAGAAGAAAAGTTATCTAATTTATTACATACATTCTGGGATAAATAATAAGATGTTAAATTTTTAAAAATATTTCTAAATAAATAGATGGCGTTAAATATTTAAAAGCAATTTATTATTTATATTTATTATTAAAAGCATTTATTAGTAAAATTTATTAAAATTAACTGTCAAATACGTCTGTAAAAGTGCTATTTCACCTAATATTTTATAACCAATTATTATGTTTACTTACTTTTTATAAATAAATCTCTTATACTTATTTGGATTAGGACCTTGAAAATAATTTTAAGAAGAGGCACGGTAATTAAATTTAAATATCAATAATATATTTGATTAGTGATTTTGATCTCGGCTAATTACAATTTAAATTTGTTAATTTTCAATTAATATTTATTTAATTAGGATTATATAATAATTTAAATAATAAAAGTTAATAAAGCTCCAACTGTTAATGCTAAATTTATATTTAGTGAGTGATATAAATATTCTATTTTTAACACAGAATTTGATTGCAAGCTGACATAGTTGTCGTATTTGTAAATACGTGAACTTTTTATTTTTTTTTTACGCGAAATGCCAATCAACCAATTAAAATAAGGTTGATTGGATAGAAAGATTAGATGTAATATGATATATGTGGATTTTATTATATTTTTAATTAATTAATTTTTATAAAAAATTACGGATATTTTTTTTATAAAGAAATGAATTTTATTTTGAATAAAATTTTTGGATTTATATTGTAGTTTTATTTGTCTTTTGATTTGATAATTTCATATAATTCTTGACGATTCGTTTTTTAGAAAGTTTGGTTAAGTTTCTAGGATTTGTTTGGGTAGATTTTAGATTTGTTTTAGTTTGTGTTTGTAGGTTTTTTTTTAGTGGTGTCTTGTGACGCTGATAGTTTCCTAGGAGTTATTCGGTTTAGAAGGTAAAACAAAAAATTTTTAATTATATAATTTTTTTAAGAATTTTTGACTGCGCATTTGTACTAACCATTATACGATTCTGATAGAGAAGTTTTTATTTAAGGTGCTATATTAATATTTTCTACAAATATTTAAATTTTTGTAATTGATTATTAGTATTAATTAAAAAATTTATGAGCAAATGGTTTATTTTTTTAGGCCTAGTGGGGAGCATAGTTTTGGGGATAAGGTTCTCTTTTATAAGGATTTGGGTTATAAAGTTATGTATAAGAACTTTAATGAATTGGATTTAGGTAAACAGTTGATTACTGTGGGAATATTATTAATGATGTATTTATTGATTATTATATTGAAATTGTTGGTAAAAAGGGGTACTGCGGTACTGGCAGGCATGTATTGCAATTGGAAGAAGGACACTGCAGTGTCAGATGTTTATAAAAAGAAAATGGAGGAAACGTATTTTATTTTAATATCGGATATTTATGGGAAGAAAATAGCAGACTTGGAAAGTAATCTAAAAGATGTTTTAGAGGAAATCAAGGCTGGAAATGTTGGGGAGAGGTCAGATAGGATCCTCCTGGAAATGAAAGAAATGTTAGAAGCCATCAATGCGTTGATGAAGGAGAGCAAAGGTCCGGTTAAGAGCCAGGTGGGTGATATAAATATGAATAAGAAATTTAATGATTACGAGGAAAATAAAGGAGTGTCAGGAAATAAAAGATTTGTTGAAATGATCATTTGCCATCGTTGCGGATGGCGAGGACATAAAAGGGATACCTGCATAGTCCCAGAGCAAAGGTTTAAAGATGGATTTCCGTTAAAGAGACCTGAAATAGGAAATGCTAATGTAAAAATGGTTAGTTTAAATGGGGCCAGATTATGTTTTAAATGTAAAAGGCCGGGACATGTAGCTGTGGACTGCATGGAAGTATCACGAAATTCGTGTTGACTATATGATTGCAAGGTGAATCATATAGGAGTTGGGGCTCCGAGAGTTCGGAAAAATGTGTATAATAAAACATTTAATATTATTAGTCGAAATGAGGGAAATGATAGAATTAAAATAAGAAATCATTCTTGTAATTTCCCTGAGAGGGAGGTTAGTCGATTTAGGTGGGAACAATATCCGAGGAATATTGTTCGTTATTCTTTTAGAAGGGATGTTAAGAATTTTATTTGGGAAAGATGTCCCACAAATCTTGTTAAAAGAAATATAATTGTCAGTAATAAAAATTTTAATTCCGAGTTGAATTTAAGGGGCAATGAGAATGCCAATGAAATTATTATTTTAGATAAAATAAACGCTGATTCTCCGATTAAAACATATGATATTTTAATGACGGAAAAATTAGATGGACCATGTTTGTGTCCGAGGGTTAGTTTGAGGATTGATCATAGGAATATAGAAATGCTATTTGACACCGGGGCTAGTATTTCTCTAATGTCGCAGGAGAATTTTTATAAGTATTGGCCTGGGGGTAAACTAGAAAAAGAGGCTATGTGTGTCAGGCAGTTTGATGGGTCGGAAGTCGCTGTGTTGGGAAAGGCTAAATTGGGGGTTAATCTTAATGATACTATATTTTTCCTTGATTTATGGGTAGTAAAGGAAAATGTTAAGACTGTTATGGGGTGGGATTGGATTACCAAGCTTGGTCTTCCCAATAATTATTGGAATATTTTTAATACTAGTGATAATGTAATAGTGGATGTTGGAGAGAATGAAAATTTGGATAATACCGATAATAAAATTTGTGAAATTTCGGAGGAGATGATGGAGAAATCGAGCAAGTTGGATTTTAATGATGAGGGGAATGAGAAGCAAATTGTGGCCGGGGGAAAAGAGGATTGAAATAAGGTTAATCAAGCTATTCCTATTCTAGTAAGGCAGTATGGCATTATTTTTGATGAAAAATTAGGTTGTTTAAATGATTATCAAGTTGATGTTCAACTGAGGGAGGGTTTTTCACCGATCTTTTTGGCTTGTCGGCGAGTTCCTTTCGAATGGAGGAAGGAGATCAATGAGGAATTAGATAGATGGGTGAAGGACGGCATTATTATTCCTGTGGGATATAGCGATTGGGCAACTCCGTTAGTGCCTGTTAAAAAGGCAAATGGTAAATTGAGACTTTGTGCGGATTTCAGGGTCACGGTAAATCGATGGGTGGTGGAGGTTAAATATCCATTGCCTAGGATTGAAGAGATTTTGGCTCAGTTGAAGGGTGCGAAATATTTTTCCAAGGTGGATTTTTCGTCGGCGTATTTGCAGTTACCTTTGAGAAAGGAAATCCGTAAATTATTGAAGATAACGACTCCAAAGGGGTTGTTTGCGTTTTGTAGATTACCATTTGGGTTGAGCGTGTCTGCTCCCATTTTTCAACGGACCATGGCGTTAGTTTTTCAAGGATTGGAAGGAGTATTTTATTGTATGGATGATGTGATAATTACTGACGTGACGCCGGAGCAGCATAATCAGCGTTTGGAGGAAGTGTTTAGGAGAATTCGTGATAAAGGCTTGAGAGCTAGTAAGGAGAAAAGTGTTCTGGGGGTAATGGAGGTTGAATATTTGGGTCATCGGATTAATGGAATTGAAGTGAAACCTTTGGATAAAAATTTGAAGAATATATCGAACATGAAACGGCCTGACACTAAGGCTGAGTTGCAGTCTTTTTTGGGTATGGTAAATTATTACCATAGGTTCGCGGAAGATTTTGCAAAGGTTGCGGCGCCGTTATATGATTTATTGAAAAGGGGAATTCATTTTGAGTGGAAGGATGTACAGCAAATTGCTTTTGAAATTTTAAAGGAAAAAATTGGAAGGGAGCCGGTTCTGGTGTGTTTTGATAATGAATTGGAAATTGTTTTGGCGGTAGATGCCTCAAATAAAGGAGTTGATGGTGCGTTATTACAGGTAATAGAGGGCTTGGAGAGACCCGTATTGTTTTTCTCGCGTGTTTTTCGTGAGGTGGAAACCAGGTATTCTGTGATTGAACAGGAGGCCCTGGCTGTGATTTTCGGGTTGACAAAATGTCGTGAATATTTGATTGGTAAAAAATTTGTAATTTTTACTGATCACAAACCGTTAATTCGCTTATTTCGGAAAAACAATCGGGAGTTAATGATGTCTCCCCGGTTACAACGTTGGTTGTTGTTGGTGGGCAGCTTTAATGTGGAGATCCGATATCGTTGCGGTAAAGAGAATTGTTTGCCTGATAGTTTGTCCCGATTAGGATTAAATGAAGGAAATGATGAAGGGAACAATAAGGTTCGAAACAGTGAAAAAGCCCTGGTTTGTTCGCTTTCGCATATGCTCAAAGGGGGTCCTACCAATTGGGAGGATCTTAAGTTGAGTACATTGAGAGATAGAGAAATGAATAGGATAAAGTTATGTGTAATGGGGAAAAAGACTTGGGAGGAGGATTGTAAAGTTTTTAAAAAGGTGAAGGAGGAGTTGTCTGTGGTAGATGATTGTTTAATGAGGGGTAATCGTGCCGTAATTCCGTTCAGTGCCGTAATTCCGTTCAAATTACGGGGTAAAATTTTAAATTTGTTACATGCTGGACATCAGGGTCAGGGGAAGATGAAATCGTGGGCCCGTGAATATGTTTGGTGGCCGGGTATGGGAAAAGAAATTGAAAATATAACAAGGAAATGTGAGCCGTGTAATTCGTGCGCGACGATGTCCCGGAAGGAGGTGGGTCAGATATGGCCCAGGTCGAGAAAACCGTGGGAACGCTTACATGTTGATTTTTTCGATTTAGATAAAAGGTCGTATTTTTTAGTAGTAGATTCGTATTCGAAATGGATAGAGTACGAGGAGGTACATGGATATACCACGAAAATTGTTGTAAGATAATTGAGGACATTAATGGCCAGGTTCGGATTGCCGGATACCATTGTATCTGATGGAGGACCTGCCCCTGCCTTTGTTAGCGAAAATTTCAAGCAGTTTTGTAAAGAGTCTAGGATTCGACACATTTTGACCCCGCCCTATCATCCCAGCTCAAATGGTCAAGCTGAGAGGATGGTAGCAATTGTTAAGAATTGGATAAGAAAGGCCGGCAATCAGGGGAATGGGGTGTATTTGGCCCAGTTGTATTACCTCAATTCTAGGAATAAGGAGGGAGTGACACCTGCTGAATTGTTTTTGGGTCGGAGGACTAGGGTTCCCCTAGATTTTCTAAGGGCCGAGAGTCACGAGAAGGGAGTTTTGGAGGACCGAAAGATGAGGTTTGAAGTTGGAAAAAAAGTATGGACTCGTTTGTTTGACGGGAGGGGCAAGAAATGGGCCAAGGGCATTGTTGGGGTAAACAGAGGTTCAAAGTTGAATTTGATTCAATTAGAAATGGGCGGCACAGTTATGCGCCACAATGATCATATACGACCGCGGGAGTAAATCTGAGGTACCTCATATGATAATATAAATATGAAAATATATTAATATAAATAAAATGAAGGTGCATCCCGAAGGATTAGACTCGTTTCCGAGCAAATATATAATGTGTAAATGAAGGTTTGGGTAACATATTGTATGTGGGAATGGGAAGTTAAAGGATCAAATAGGAGAGGGGCTCATCTTAAAGTGGTGAATATATATATTTATGCAAAGTTAAAGCATGAAGGAGTAAAATGTACGTGAACGGTCGGTAACCTTTGTGTTTGAGTTTATGTATTATTATATGATGGTATTAGAATTTATTGATAGATGTTTATGTAAGAAAGTGAAATTGAATAAGGAGGTTATCTAGGTAATATTACGAGAAATTGAAGTATATGTATGTATATGTAATGTTAAGTTAAACTGGTTTAATGTTCCGGCTGTCGGTAATAAACAAGGAAAAAAGATTGAAATTGTGGTAATATATGTATTGTAAATGAATAAAAGTGTAAAAAAATAAAAGGAATAGAAAAGTTGTAATTCATTTTGTGAATACATTTTTGTTCATAGCCTTATAGGGTAAATCACGGTTGTTGAACATTGGTATTAGTACTGGGAAAATATTTTTTTTTTAAACAAAAAAAAAAGATATAATTAATTAAAAAGTTTTATTTAAAAAAATTTGTTTTTTTGGTTAGCACGTGCGACGTGTTTGAGTTATTTAGTATTAGGAATACATTTGTATAAGAGGACTTAAAATTAAAAAGTTTTGTTTTATTTTTTTTCTCCCCCCTTTTTTTCTTGTTTATAATTTAATGGTCCGTGTATGTGTGGAAGGCCGTAAAAGGAAATATGAAAAGTTTAAAATGTGTTTATGTTTCGGAATGCAATCATGAATTGGTTTTGTTTTTGTGTATGAAGTGTTAATTTTTTTTATGAAAATTAAATTATAAAAGTGTTTATTTAATTTAATTTTTTTTGTAAAAGATTTTTTTTTTTAAATTATAAAATTGTTTATTTTTTTTAAATTCCCCAAAAAACTCGTATTAACCGATTACAGTCTTAACAAACTCGTGTCAAGTTAATTATCAAGCCAATGCTCATGAATTATCGTTTAATCAACTAATCGGAGCAATGACAACCACCCGGCTATATTTATCTACGTCGTTGATTTGAGCAGTACACGAAGGAATATCACAGTTCCATCAATGATTAGTCAATGAACATTCTTTATTATGAATGGATATCGCAAAAGAAAAAAAGGAAGCAGGAAACGTAGCAGATGATTTGACAAGGATTTTATTATCACCGGCAAAACAACTTAATGTTAATGTGTAAAATAATATTAATGACGATTCTGAAATTGAATACTTTAGGAAATAATTGTTCCTTTCGGATTGGTGTTTCTCATAGTTATATCCACTATCACAATGGATCATTCACATTGAAATTAGCTATTTTTTTGAAATATTCAAGGTAATCATGATATTATTGAATTAATTATATAAAATTGAAGGACTTTATAAAATTTTATAAATTTGTTATAGCAATTTGATTGATCATGCAACACCGTTATATATCGATTATTTTTTTAACAAAAATATATATATGCCGACATGCCATGAGCCCATAAAGGGGTGGCATGTCGTATTTGTAAATACGTGAACGTTTTTTTTTTACGCGAAATGCCAATCAACCAATTAAAATAAGGTTGATTGGATAGAAAGATTAGATGTAATATGATATATGTGGATTTTATTATATTTTTAATTAATTAATTTTTATAAAAAATTACGGATATTTTTTTTATAAAGAAATGAATTTTCTTTTGAATAAAATTTTTGGATTTATATTATAGTTTTATTTGTCTTTTGATTTGATAATTTCATATAATTATTGACGATTCGTTTTTTAGAAAGTTTGGTTAAGTTTCTAGGATTTGTTTGGGTAGATTTTAGATTTGTTTTAGTTTGTTTTTTTTTAATAGTGAAAATATAATTTATAAGATTAATCTACTCTAATAGTTAAAATAGTATTCATTTAAGAATAATTTAGATAAACTTATTAATTTTTAAATTATAAAATTAAATCTATATATTACTCAATAGAATTATAAAAGAAATCATTCAGTGCGCAATCGAAAGAATTTATTTTTAGTTCAAGGGGATATTAAGGAGCCATTAAAAAAAAATTTTTGCTTCAGGGGGCTCGAGCCCCTGCGCGCCCCCCCCCACTAGCGACGCCACTGTCATTTTAAAATTTAATAGTTTTTATAAAATTTCTAATTTTTATCTTCTTTCTATCCTCGATATATTTTGCCATTGGTTATTGTTGTGTCTGTTGATATATAATTGACATTTATGAACATTTTTTTAAATGGATTTCAAAAGATAATAACAATTTTTATTCTTTGTTCTTTTAGAATTTATCATATGATTTTTTTATATTTTTGGAAATAAAGGAATTTGGGAAATTATCATTATATTTAGAAAAGTCTTACCAATATAGAATAATATATTTATTTTTAAGTTTATGATGCTTATTTAATTTAATGTTGAGATTATACATTTTTATAATATTGGTGTATGTGTTTTTTGAGATACGAAACCTGGGTTATACAATACATTGAAAAACCACTGTACATAGCCATAATAATGAAATAAATTATATTTTTATGAAAAGTATAAAAAAAATAAGATAGAAGATAGAGAAAAATTGGAATAGATGGAAGGGGAAAAGAAAAGAGATGAAAAAAGAGAAATTTAAATACAATATGTTTTAAAAAAGATTTGATGTATTTTAATTTTAAATATAAAAATATTAATTAAATTATATGAGATAAAAATTAGATATTTAGTAATTGATGTTATATTAGAAATTTTTATGAATTTAGAAATAATGGAAAATGAAAGGATTTTATAGTGATTAAAATGGTTAAGATATTTTGATATTTAGAAGTTAAATTTTGGATATTTAAATGATTTATATATAGTTGAAAGAATTATGAAAGTAAAGTTAATGTAAATTTAAAAGAAAATTTGGTTCCATTTAAAAAAAGTGAGAGGTGTGAAATTCAATTGTTTATTTTTTAAAAAAAATTTCATAAGTTATTTTAAAATTAATAATTAATATTTAAATTTTAGCAAATAAAAGATAGGATAGAACGTAAAGTATGCGTTTAAAAGGTTATCAATTGTCTTAATTGAGTGAATTAAAATAAGTAATAACATAGGTTTAGATTATATATTATTGTGATAAATTTTTTTTGTACCATTGGATATGGTTGTAATGATTTTTGTACCATTGGATATGGTTGTAATGATTTTTATATCATTGAATATGGTAGGGTTATATTAATTTTTGTGTTATATATTTTGATTTTAGTTTTTAAACCCAGTGATTTAATAGTAAATTTTATTTTGGAAACATTAAGACTCATTTAATGGCGTTATAGGTATTCCATCATAGGAAATTAAGACCTCATGTTATGCAGGACAGAAAATTGATATTTAACTTTTGGGATTATAATTAGCATGAATAATTTTTTTTTGAAATATAATGTGAAGAAAAAAAGGATTATGATAATATGGATATTTTTTTAAAAAAAAATGAAATGAAAATTATGGATATTAAACATTTTGCTAATGTTTAAAAAAAAATGAAAAGAAAATTATGGATATAAAATGTTTAATGATAAAAAAAGAGTGATAAATTAAATAAAAAATTGAATTATGTAATGAAGTAAAAATATGCAAATTTCAGATATAAAAGTTTTACATTAAACATGTGCTAAAGATGAATTGATAATCAAGAATGGGCCATAAATAGTTCAAATTTTTAAGTAGAAAAATAAAGTGTAAAGGTTATTGATAAAAATATTTTTGATTTTATATGTATAAATGTGGATTTATATATATGTAAAGGATAATAATGGAGGTAGCCATTAGATAATATTAGAATATTTTTATGTTTAAAATTTTGATTAAAGGTTTATATATATACATGCGTAATATTATATGTATATATATATATATATAAATATCTTTGATTTTATGAATATAAATGTGGATTTATAATAATGGAGAGAGCCATTAAATAATATTATAATATTTTTATGTGTAAAATTTTGAAAGTTATATATATGAAGAAAATTGGCTATTTGATAATTTAGACCCACGGAAAGGGGGAAAGTAGTGTAGTTCATCATATAATAAAATTTTGTTAATTAGTGTTGAATGTTGATGGATGTTATTTTATTATTTATTTTGGCAATTGATTTATTTTATTTTATATTATATCAATTTGTATTTAAATTTAATAGGTGAAAATTTTATATTAACATTTTTTTTATACATCAATTTGTATTAGTTATTTTTTTTTTGTTTAAAAAAAAGATATATAAAGAGATAAAAAAATGTAATTGTTTTTGAAAAATAAAAATGTAATTTATCATATAATAAAATTAAATTATTATAAGAAAATAAAATAAAATTATAACCAATATAAATTATGATGATAATCAAATAATAAATGTGGATCTAAATTCAATTCCAACAATTGGAATCAGAAATTTTGTGTTAAATATTTGAAATGTAGGATTATAATTGATAAGGAAGAAGTGTATATGGAATGTTAAAAGAAAAAATAAAGAATACATTTTGGATGTAATTTAAAAAAAAACATTTACTGACTTACTCTTTGTAATATTCTGACCAATCAACTACAATGATTCTGTCCAATAAAGTACAATGATGCTGGATAAATGATACCAAGTTTAAAATAGAATGATCATGACTGCCAATGATGCAATGGATCAATCAAGCTATGACTCATTACCCATTAAGATTTAATGATAATCAACAGCACAATGACTATGTATAGTTAAGAAAAAATGGGTAGCAACAGCTCAATGAAAATTATGTATGGTCAAGAAAAAATATGCAACTTCCTGGAACAGAAAAAAAAAATTTAATGAAAATAAATAATAATAATTTTTATATTTTTGTTGATCATTTAGA